CATCCGTCCCTGGGGCTCAGTCTGTCCCAGCTCCTGGCTCTGAGTCAGAGCCAGGTGGTTGGATTTGGCTGAGGGTTAATGATATGCCAGGGGCTGGCGTTGACTGGAGCTGGTCACGGACCATCGGGTTGTATGTGTGCGTTTGTGTGCGCGTATGTGTGTCTGTGTACAAGGGGGGTGTTTATATACAAGGGGGGAGTGTGTGCATATCTACAAGAGGGTGTGTGTATGCACAAGTGCATGTGTGTGTACAAGGGTGAGTGCGCCTGTACAAAGGGATGTGTTTGTATACAAAGAATACATATATGTATATGCAATTGTGTGTGCACCATCGTGTGCATATAAAGGTACATGTATATGTGTGTCCAAGGGTATAGGTGTGTATGTACAAAGGGGTGTGTTTGTCTACAAAGGGTGTGTATGTATACAAAGATATGCGTATGCAAGGGTGTGGGGACTCCATAGGTACAAACCCGTGTGTGTGTGTGTGTGTGTGTGTGTGTGTGTGTGTGTGTGCAATCGTGTGTACAAGGCTTCATGTGTACATTCAAAGGAGCATATTTGTACACAAGGGTGTATGTATGTACAATTTTGTGTGTACAGTTGTCTGCCTACAAAGGCACATGTGTTTGTGAGTGTACAAAGAGGTGTGTTTATACACAAGGGTGTGTATATATGTATGTACAAAGATATGTGTATGCAGAGGTGTGGGTATTTGTGTGCATACAAGCCTGTATATGTGTGTGTGCAAGTGTGTTTGTGTACATATATTTATGTGTATACAACTGTGTGTATACAAGTCTTCGTGTGCCTATATAAAGGACTGTGTTTGTACACAAGGGGCTGTATGTGTCTATACAATTGTGTGTGTGTGTACAACTGTATATCTACAAGGGGATGTTTCTATGCACAAGGGGTGTGTGTGTGTTCATTTAAAGGGGTATGTGCATGTACATGGGGGATCAAATATTTGTATCAAGTAGTGTGGGTGCGTACAAGCCTCTGTGTGTGTGTGTATGTGTATACAAGAATCTGCATGTGCATGTATGTGTGTGTGTATATAACTGTGTTTGTGCGGGGGGGGGGGGGGGGGTGTGCCCCAAGCCCCCCCCCACCCCCAGTTCCACCTCAGGCCATTGGGCTGGGTCTCCATAGAGCCCTGGGGGCAGCAAGGTGCTGAGCTAAGGGAGGGGGAGACACAGTTCATACATACATACACACACACACACACGCACATGCTCAAAGACATGCTTACATGCTCATGCACACACTCATGCTCACACACTCTCACACTTTCACTCAGACATACACTCCCTCACACACTCACTCACTCTCAAGCGCTGTCACTCATAGGCATGCACACACGCAGAAGCTCACATTCTCACACTCACATGTGCACACTCTCACACATATACACTCTCACGCTCACACACACACACTCACTTTCAGACCCTCTCACTCACATGTACACCTGTACACACTGCATGCACACACTCCAACACACAGGCATGCATACACATGCTTACACTTATACACAGACTCTCTCAGACACTCTCGCTCACATGCACACTCTTACTGACAGGCACAATCACTCTCAGACACTCACTTGCACACATACACACACATGCACACACTTGGCTACACACGCATATGCATACCCGGCCCTGCGGGTGCCTCTCACTCCAGACCCACAGCTCAGCAGCTGTGCTGCCCCCACAGTGCCCTGCTGGTATTTGGCTCTGGGCGACCCAGAGGCCCCCGGGAGCTGGGAGAGAAGCAGTACATGGAGCAGAGCGCCCAGGCCTGGAATCCCAGCTATGAGCCGGGAATGTCAGACGGCCCCAGGCGGGTGCCAGCCCCATACCCCCCACCCTGCCTGCAGCCCCCTGTTCTGCTGGTGCCCCTCACTCCCAACCTGCTGCCCCATGTTTGCCCCCCAGAGTGAAGGAGGGTGGTGTGGCTGGCTCCCCAGCCCAATGTGCCTCCCTCAAGGAGCCCAGGTCTGTGGGGGTGTTGAGAAGGGCCTGGAGGGGGTGGCGGTGTCCCTTGCCCACATCCCGGCACCTCAGTCCCAACTCACAGCCCCCTGCCCATCCCCCTGCCCCCAGACCCAAGCTGGCACCCACACCTCACCCCCAGCCTGTCAGCTGCTGTTTACCCGGCTGCCATAAAAGCAGCTGCCAGGAGGGACATTCCAGCCGTGCATTGTGGGGCCAGCTGGGCTGCGGGTGCCCACACCCCCCCACCACTGCATGGAGGGGGGTAGAGGGGGAGTCCAGCTGGGCCTGGCAGCACTGGGTAGCAGAGACTGCAGGATGGGAGTGAAGGGCACTGCTGGGCTACAGGGAGGGCCATGCTGTTTGAGTGTGTGTGTGTGTGTGTGTAATGCTGGGTGTACATGCCACACGCATGCTGTATGTATGTTCCATGGTCTGCCCAAGTGTGGAGTGCGTGTCTGTCTCTGTGGTAAACACAACATGTACATGCTTCACGTACGTGTATGTGTGGGTGTGTAAAGCAGTGAATCCACATGGTGTGTGCATGTGTGTATGTGTACTGCAGCGTGCACCTGTGTGCGGTGTAGCACATGCATTCTGTGTGTGTATGCAACACAGTATACAGGCAGTCCTCGACTTACCACATTTCAAATTACATTTTGCGCTTACAACATTTATAAATTGACACCCTGGTTCAACTTTCTGACGTCAGTTTCGACTTTACCACGCTTGATCCGACGCGACACCAGCGAACAAGTTCACTGCATGGCCCACCTCCCTGCAGATCATCTGTCCAAACTTCCTTGGACACTTTCTTTAAGAAAGCAGACAAGACTCCAGAAAAACCTGCAGCCAAGACTCCTGAGAAGACGCCAGCCAAGAGCCCTTCAAAAAGTCCAGCAAAGTCACCTCAAAGAAGTCCTTCCAAATCAATATGATTGCTATTTACAATACAAATACATGAATGTAGCTATATTACTCATCTATAATTGATTCAGTACAAAATTCTGGGTTATTTTTGGTGAAAATAGGGTATCGTGCCTTGGTTCAAGAACCAATCCCCCATTTATAACATTGTTTCCTGTGGGAAAATCAGTTTTGAGTTACAACGTTTTGACTTAAGTTGCAATTTTAAGGAACCAATTGTGTCGTAAGTCCAAGGACTGCCTATATATATGTATGTAGCATCCACTATGTATGTATGTTAAATACAGCGTGCACATGCAGTGTGGTATGTGTGTGCATGTGCACATGTTAAATGCAGTGTATACATGTCGCTTGAATGTGTGTATGTGTATATAGACAGCATGTGTGAGTGGGAGTCTCAGGCAGAATATCCATGCAGTGTGTGCGTGCAATGCAGTATGTGCATGTAGTCTGCATGGTGTATATATGTCCAGTACAGTGTACATATGCAGCATGCTGTGTGTATTAAATACCATGTGTACATGCTGCATGTGTGTGCATGTGTACACATGTGTGTGGGTATATAAGGTCGTGGGTACCTGCTGCAGGTGTGTGTGTAGTGCACATGTGCACCTGTGTGTAATGTGACACAATGTAATGCTGTGTGTACATGTAGCATGATGTATGTATGTTAAATACAGTATGCACATGTAGCGTGGGGTGTGTGCATAGCTGTGTATTAAATGCAGAGAGCACCTGCTCCATGTTTCTGTTTGTGTGTTTGTGTGTGTGTGCGCGTGCAATGCATAGCATGTGTGTGTATGTGTATGTATCGTATAATGTGTACATGCAGTGCATGTGAATGTGCCTGTGGGGGATGTCAGGTGGTATATCCATGCAGTGTGCATGTGTAATGCATCATGTATGTGACTATGTACTGCAGCCTGTGTGTAATGTAACAGATCCATACGGTGTACGTGTGTGTGTGATGCAGTGTATACATGCAGCATATGCATATATGTGTTTGTGCATCTGTGAGTGCATAAAACTGAATCCATGCAGTCTGTGTGTTTGTATGTGTGTACATGCCTATCTACATGTACACATATGTTCATACATACACACAGAGTATGTGGGTACATAAGGGAATATACTCATGCATGGGGGGGCGGGGCGGGGCGGGTTGTTAGGCCAGTTGTACATTCAGCTTCTGTGTGTAACGCAGTATGCCTGCACATGTGGGTATAATGTAGCACATGCATGTAGTGTGTGTGTGTGTGTGTGTGTGTGTGTGGGTAAAGCTGCTTGTACACACAGTGTGTGTTGAGATGTGTGTACTGCAGAAGGCAAGCACATACTTGTGTAATGCAGTGCACACACGTTGCCTCCTGTATGCTGGATCTATGTTACATACAGTGTGCACGTGCAGTGTGGTATGTGTGTGTGCCAAAGGCTGCGTGCACAGGCTGTGTGTTTGTACAGGGAGCATGTGGGAGTATGGGCGTGTGTGTTTCGGGAATGTGGTCACCATGTGTCCCTTCCAGCTGTCCCCAGGGGGAAGCCGTGACAATGGCAGGAAGCCGTGATGCCTCAGCTGGGAATGCGGCTACTCACGTGTCCGGAATACCCAGCCTGGGGGAATGTCCCTGGCATGGGGAGGGGGCAGGATATCCCAGTCCTCGCCTTCCCCTGCCCTGCCCCAGAGCTGGTCGCATCCTTTCTAGGTGTCAGGCTGTCCTACATGGCTGTTTTCTGCCAGTCACATCCCAGAGTTGGCTGCATTAATGTGCTATGTGGGCCATGCAGCTGCTGGGCCACTCTACGCAGCTGTTTTCTGCCTTCCTCTCTCCAGAGCTGGCTGCATCTCAGTGCTAGGTAACCAGGGCAGTAGCTGGGCCTGTTCTATATGGTTCTTTTCTTCCTGCCACACCCCAGAACTGGCTGCATATCCATACTACATGACCCATACAGATACTGGGTTGTTCTATATGGCTGTTTTCTGCCTGCCATACCCCATAGCTGGTCGCACCTGGTACCGTGTAAGCTGTCTGTGCTCACTACTCCACTCTTCACCTCCTCTCTCTTTCCTGTTTCTAGGCATGAAGACACCCTTGCTGGCCTAACCTGGCAGGAGGAGCCAGGACCCCTGGGGGCGTGATGGTCCCCATAATCCTTTGCTCCCTGCTCTTGGCATCTGTCGGAACTGCGGAGCTGGAGGGGCATTTCGACCTTGGTGAGCCTGGGTTACCTGCTTGGGAAGGTGGGAGAGATCCTTAGCTCAGCTCAGCTTAGCACCCCCCCACACACACACATGTGTGTGTGCACATGCACACATTTACACACGCACCTCACAGACGCCCTTCCCCGAGCCTCAACCACACAGATATGTGGGATGCACATGGGCTGGTGTGAGAGCCTGGGCTTGGTACCCACACAGGCTAAGATAGACATGATGCCCACTCTGCACATGCTAATGCATGCATGAGGACAGAAGAACATGCTTTGTACATACTAACACATACATGTGTGCACATAGGCCCCCTCAAGCATGCTAAGACAGACATAGTTCATACCTTTTATAGGTGAGCACAGGAGAATATGCTTTGTACGTGACACATGCACACATACACACACAGGCCTCATCAAGCATGCTAAGACAGGGACTGTGCATGCCCCATCTCATGCTAGCATATGTAAGCATGTATGACCATGCCTTGCACATGCACACACACTCATATCCACACAGGCCCAGTCTGCACATACCAACACATATGTGAGCACATGTGAACACGCTCTGCACATGCACACACATTGTCAAGAAGGCTAAAACAGGCACAGTGTCCACTCCACACATACAGGTAAGCCAGGGGCAGGCAATTATTTTGGGTGGAGGGCCGCTTACTGAGTTTTGGCAAACCACTGAGGGCCGGATAGAATGGCTGCATCCAGCCCCTGGGCTGTATTTTGCCCACCCCTGATGTAAGCACACATGAACATGCTTTGCACAAGCCAACATGCCCTGCCAAACACACTAAGACAGACAGGATACAGGACCCAGTACATGCCACCACATGGAACTGTAAGTGAACATGCTCTGCATGTGCTAGCATGCAACCAGATACACTTCATATACGTGTGTGTATGCACACACACGTATACATGCATGGGCATCTGGGGGCCTGATCCCAGCCTGGCTGGAGAGTGTGGAGCTAGCGCCTCCTGGTGTCTGGACCCAAGATCACCCCCATACTGTCTGCAGCCTCACACCTACCAGGGGCCATAGGGGATGTATATGGGCTGGTGGGTGGTGGGAGAGGGTTTAGAGGAAGTACAGGGAAACAAGTGTAGTGTAGAGGACCAGAGGGGAGGTGGGAGATGGGGGATCTTTAGGGGGTTGGTGGGATTTGTATGGGATCTCTTGGGGTCAGGTGGGTTATAGGGGAATCTATAGAGGATGGGTGGGATACATAAGGGGTAGGGGCCAGGTGAGATAAAAGGGAATCTATAGGGGTGGATGAGATATATACAGGATCCATGAGGCTGGGGTAGGCTATAGAACTCGATAGGAAGTGGGAGGGCTAAATATGGGTTGTCTAGACACCATGTGGGCTCCAAGAGAGTACATATGGGGGGGATACAGATGGGATCAATTAGGCTTAGGGGGCTATAGGAAGATCTATAAGGGGTGGATGTGATACATGTGGGATCAATGAGGCTGGGTGGGCTATAGGGGAATCTTCAGGAGATGGGTGAGATACATATTGGGATGTATAGGGGCCAAGTGGGACTATTGGGAAATCTGTAGTGGTGGGTGGAACACATAAGGGATCAGTGCAGCCCAGGTGGTCTGCAGGAGAATCTATAGAGGGTGCGTGGATGAGATACATACGGGATCCATAAGGCCCAGGTAGGCTATAGAACTCTGTAGGGAATAGGTGGGGTGCATATGGGTTGTCTAGGGGCCATGTGGGTGCTAGGGGAATCTGTATGGGGCAGGTGGGATACATAAGGGATCAATGAGGCCCAGTGGGCTATAGGGGAATATATAGGGTGGGGGAGGGATACACGTGGGGTCTCCCCATATTTATTCCCTGTATACAGATACATATACAGAATCTCTCTGTATAGGGCTTAGAGGGGCTTGATTCTTCAACAGGACCTTTCTGGGCTATAAGGAAATGTTGGGGGGAGGTCAGAAGAAGGTTAACATGGACTATAGGAGAATCTGGGTGTGGGGCAGAGGAAACTATAGTAGATGTATGGTTCTATAGAGGCAGGATGGACTATAAGGGGATATGTAGGAGATGGATAAGATATCTAGGTCTCTAGAAGGGCTGTAGTAGAATGAACACAGGATGGGTGGAGTCTATAGGAGGCTGAGGGATCCATATGGCAGTGCATAAGGGATGGATAAGATCTGTAGGAGTCGTCTGGGATCTATAGGGGCCTATCAAAGCTGGAAGAGCCATGTGGGATTGAATAATGGGTGGCTGGAGTCTGTAAGGGCTGGATAGGATCTATACAGCCTGAGTGGGCCATATGGAAGTGAATAAGGGATGGATGAGATCTATAGTGGCTGGGTAGAATCTACAAGAGCCAGGTGGGCTATGTAGGAGTGAGTAAATGTTGAATGAGGTCTCTAGGGGCTGGGTGGGATTTGTGGAGAGCTATAGGGGCCAAGTAAACTATAGAGGATGCCAAGAGCCTGGTTGGGGTCTCTAGAGGCTGGGTGGGATCTGGGAGGTGGGGGGAGAATGCAAATAAGGGATGCCAAGGGGCTGCTCCTTATTCTCTCTCTCTCTCTCACTCTTCTCCCACCCCCTCCACCAGCCAAGTGCCGCTATGCGCTGGGTATGCAGGACCGCACGATCCCCGACAAAGACCTGTCAGCCTCCAGCTCCTGGTCAGACTCCACTGCCGCCAAGTACAGCCGGTGAGGTACCCCCCACTCCTATCCCTGAAACCCATAGGTGGAGGGAGAAAATATTATTTGGGGGTGCTGTGTACAAACACACAAACACACACACACAGCAGGTAAATCTGTGGGGGAGAAGGGGCAGGAAGGGGTGGGAGGGGGTGGGGATCAAGGCCCCCACAGTGAGGGAGGGGCAGGGGTCCCTACGGTGAGGGAGGGAGTGGGACAGGGGTAGAGGCTAGGGCGAATGGGGCCCTGAGGACAGGGTGGCTCACAGTGGTGATTTGTAGGGGGTGCATGTGGGTGCACGTGCACCCGCTGAGAGTTCTGGTGCACCCCTTGTCAGGCTGTGCTCTCTGTTTAAGTGCTGGTGCCCCCCCTGTGAGCACAGGCCAGGGAGCGGGTCCGCCAGCAAAAGCGGCTGCACCACTTCCAGAAGTGGCCACGGGACTTCTGGAAGTGGCGCAGCCACTTTTTTGTGAGATCAGCCACGGGGGGGACTGCCCCTGGTCAGTGAGATCGGCCATGGAGGACACCCACCCCCAGGTCGCTGACTGGTGTCAGGGGGGGGCACGTGTCACCCCGACTCAAGAGGCACCAGTTGCCCATGGTGGCTCATCAGACGGTCAGAGCCCCAGTGGCTCCTCCAGAAGCATGGGGGGGCTCTCGCCACTGCTCACACCCCAGGGGAGGCATGGGGGCAAGTGCCCCCCAGATTTGTGTTCAGGGCAGAGTTGGACTGCTGGTGCAGGCTGGGGCTCTGCACCCCACTGCCACTGCCTCCAGAGCTGCATGATGTACCTTGTACCATGTACCTTCTGCCGTCAGGCTGCGCCACGTTCCATGCCTGGTCAGCAGTGGCAGTCACGTGGCGTTGTGGGGCACCCAGGGCAGCGGCAGTGGGGTGCAAAGCCCCAGCCCTCAGCAGCAGCCCTTCTCCGTCCCACACACAAATCCGGGGGGCACATGCCCCCGTGCCTCCCCTGGGGTGTGTGCAGTGGCAAGAGTTGCCCCCATCTGATGAGTTGCCCCCTCCTCAAGGCCCCATTTGCCCCAGTCCCTGCCCCTGCCCCACTCCCTCCCTCACCATGGGAACTTCAATCTCCTCCCCGCTACACACACATCCAAGTCCCTTCCCCTTCACAGACTAAGACATGCCTGCCATGCTGGGCAGTGATTCACATACCAGGCTGCAATCCTGGCTGCCTGTCTGAGTCTGTGTGTGCCCCTTTCCCTCCCCACCCCACCCCACTGCAGCCGCCCAGAGCCTGTGCCTGGGCTGCCCTGCGGGCCTACCCTCTGCTACCACTGTCCTGCATTTGTGAGGACTAAGCCCTGTTAGCCCCAGCCTTCCATTGCTGAAACCCCCACCCCAGAGCACAGCTGGTGAGGGCCCCTCCCTCCATCCCTTTGCCAGCCTCCTCAGAGCCCCAGAGTAGGCCAAGATGTGGCTATAAACAAGCCCAGTCCAGTTTTTATGGGAAGCTGTACAATAACAGTGGGGTGGAGGCAAAATGCAGGGGTGGCCTGGACCTTAGGTAGAGAGCCTAGCATCACAAACCAGCCCCAGGGCTTATGGAGACCCAGCCATAAATGATGGTCTCACATGGGGCCTCATTTTTTACAGCAGACCCCAGCAAGGGCAGTTCCAGGGGAGGTGCAATGTTGCAGTTGCACCCGCTTTGCTTCCTACTCCACCTGAAGGTTACAGCCAGTTGGTTTAGATATCACCCATTCTTTATACACTCTCATATGACCCACGCAGCCTGGATAGAAATGCCACTGCCCA